TAAATACACTCAAACCTCTTTGAGGAGAGGTGGATGGGCCATAGAATGATTAGTATATCATTTTTCGAGAAGTCTACGAACCCTCCTTCTGGTTGTAGCCCTTAATACCAACCTCTGCTACCTTCTAGAAATGAGTGGTAGCTACATGAAAATTAACAGACAGAATAATATGTCATATTAAATCAGTAAGTCCCTAAAAGAAAAAGAAGTTTTCATAAACAAATATTTGGAATTGGGCTTATGGAAACAAAGGTTCTCTCAAGCACCCCATTTCTGCATCTTGTTTCAGACACACACAGGCCTGCGGTATCCCCAGGTCACACTGAAAACAGGTTTTTTTTTTTTTAAGCTCATCTTGAAATACCAGGACATACCTCAATTGACTGGACTCAGCTTTATTCTGGCGTCATTTTTTAATTTATTTTAACGGCGACCCCTCCCACTACTGATGCCTGCTGGATTTAAAGTGTTAAATTGGTGTTTTTGAAAGTTTCTGGTTTTTAATATAAAATTCACTTTAAATAAGGGTTTTCACAGAATATAACTTAAGTAGCATTGTTATAAGACGTTGACTTGGTCAATGTATTTTTGTGTCAATCTCACTTTCTTAAACTTCTCTCTAGGCTTCCATGAATTCTAATTCTTGAGGGGTTTGGTCGGCCCTCCTGGACCCTCCTTTTGTCTTTCACTAGCTCCTGTCCTGCACCTGTCCCAGAGGAACTTTTTCTTTTTTTTAAAGAAACATTCCAAATGATTCCTGGGGTGGCTCCGGGGTGGGGGTGGGGAGCACGTGCTTTCAGGGATCAAGTTCAGGGCCCGCACAGGCTACGAATATGCTCTCCCACTTGAACTGTATCTCCTCCTCTGCTCCCCTGCATCCAGTAAGATTTCAAATTTTGTATTCTCCATTTCTCATGTCCTCTGTTGCCATTACTACACCAACAGCATCCAAGTATCTAATTGCAGTTCATTTCTTACTCCTGAGCTCCATGCACACTCCCACCTCCGCCTGGATATTCTACAGGCATCTGAGATTCGGGAAAGGATGCCACTCTTCTCGTTCTGTCTCCTCACCTCCTCTAAGACCATCCCAGTTTTAAGCTGCTGTCTCAGAAAACAGGTTGTTTTGGTAGCTCAGAGTTGGTAGTTCTGTTTGAGATCTAAGAATCATCCTGTATTCATCTCTTTTCTTGCCTCTACATCAATCAGGGATCTCTATTTTATCTTCTCAGTACTCTGAATCCACTCCATCTTCTCTGTTCCCATCATCCTGGCCTGAGACAGTCTCTCAACAGGAATTACTGAAATACATCACTGCTAGACTTATAAATACATTTCCTGATTACTTCTTTACCAAAAACTCTTACACTTTCTATTACATTCAGAACCAATCCTAGTATTTCCTATGATTCACAGTCCTCACTGATGTCCTGTCAACCCACTTCTTCCGCACTGTCTTTTGCACACCCTTCCCTATCACCCAATGCTTAGGTGTACTAACTAGCCTAATTTTCTAACTGGCTCAGTATTTTCATCCCTCTGAGCCTTCACCAACTGATCTAATTTTCTAACTGGTTCAGTATTTTCATCTCTCTGAGCCTTCACATATGATGCTCTTTACAATTTTCTTTCATCTATTCATCAGCTTGCTAGCTCCATCAGGACTATCACCATCCCTTTGTAGGAAACTTCACTTCTTTCCTTAGTTCTCCTTTCTCAGTGCACTAAGGCACTACCAAACTTCCCCAGAACTTCCTTCCCCATTCCAAACACATTCAGTACTGCAAGCAGCACCCCCACTGGAAGGGAACGCTCCTATACTAAGTTGCAAGGGTTTCTCTCCAGTCCAAATCAGGTGCTCTGTAAATGTGCTAAGTAAAAGAGCAAAAGTCATAACTCAGAGGCCAGTGGATCACTGACAGGTCCACCAGCAAAATACTAACCTCTAGGCTAGACCTGCTCACTGAGAGAGTACCCAGCTCATTAAAATGATCATTAAAATAAAAGTACTCTTTTGGCAACTTCTCAAGAAGTTAAACAGAAATGCCCTATGATCCAACAATTCCATGTCTGGTATATGCCTACAGAAATGAAAGCTGGAACACAAATACTTGTATGCATGTTTGTACAAAATTATTCCCAACAATCAAGAGATGGGTCTGTCTGTCAACATATGAATGAACACAACTGTAGCATAGCCATACAATGAAATATTGTTCAGCAAAATTCTGATATGTGCCATATAAACCTGGACAACGTAATGTTAAAGTGAAATAAGCCAAACACAAAAAAAGAAAAATACTGCGTGACTCTACTCTTTAGAATGTGAAATAGGCAAATTCAGAGAAAGAGAGACAGAAAGAGAGAGAAAGAGAAAGAGAGAGGAATGGAGGAACAGAGCTTATCTCAGGCTGGAGACAGAAGAACTGGAAAATTATAACTAAATAAGTACAGATATTCTGCTTGGGATAAAGGAAAGTGCTAGAAATAGTTAATGATTATATAACCCTCATAGATGTGCTAAATTTTGATGAATTGTACATCTGAAATAATTAAAATGGTAAATTTGTTATAGATACACAATTTTTATTTTTTTTAAAGTTTCTTATGGTGCTGGCAAGCAAATCTAGGGCATCACACATGCAAGTATATTTTCAGCACAATTGGGGGAAAATAGGTTGACAATTTTACAAATGAAATAAGAAAAACTGATTCTTAAAATTTGTATAACCTGTGCTCAGCCCAATGCAGGTTCAAGTGCTTTAGTAATTTTCAACTAAACATTGTTCTCACTGGAGACTGTAAGAAGGTTTTTCACCCTGACCTCTCATATCAACCAATTAAAGAGTCTAAAGCTATGTGCTATTTCTGCAACTGATCAAATGGCTTGATCATCCTGGAGAGGCCGTATCTTCTATAGAACCAGAGTTGACCACAAAGTCACATAGTGTTGACTGCAAAACCCACATCCTACTGAACTATTGTTCAGTGTTGGCAGATGAGTTTTACAGGTCTACAAACTTTACTAGGGAAACAAAGAGATGATTTGCTTTTCCAAGCCCTTTATGTAAAGTTTTCACTTAATTTTACAGCTTGAAATTCTGCGTATGAAACTTACTTTCCTTGGATTATCTGAGGCCTGTAAGTTAAAAACAATTTTAGGACTCAAAACATTTCATAACTATGACACTGGCCAACAAAGTATGATTTACAACTAATAGATAATAAGCACTGTAAACACCAAAGGAGGCGGAATGAAAAAGTTCCAGAAGAGTATAATCTTAAAGATATAGTTCAGATATGCCCTAATAGAGTTATTCCTGAGAGGAAAGGCAGGCAGGGGAAAATGGTACCAGAAATACAAGTAAGTCCTCAACTCTTTGCCAGCATATGGGGTGACCACCTAAGCACTGTGGGAGCATCCCAGGAGCCATCACTTGTGCCTCTTCCTTTCCTTCCCTCCAACCTTCTTCCAAAGGAAATGCTGAGCAGTTAGTATAGTGCCCGCCACATAGCAGATATCCAACAAACTCTCCTTTCTGTTCCATTTCAGACCAAGGCTGTCAGGAAAGCCTTGACAGTGTTATCAAGAATGTCTGCTTTCCAGACACGTTTTCTGAAACAGTCAAAGGTATAACAATCAAATACGTCAAAAACACAAGCCATATAGATATGGTCTATGATACTGATACATGAGCATAGTTATAAATAGAGAAAGAAAATCATGAGTGCAGATTAAAAAAAATCCACAAAAGGCATTTTTCTGCGCTACAAAAATGAGTTGAACCTTGCAATTATTAGGCACCAGTTATCACCTTAATTTGGTGTTATAGGAGAAAACAGTAATATTTCTGTCCCTGGATAGATTGGACATGAAAATAACTGACAAGAGCAGGTCAGAGTCCCGGAGAAGAGGGCGCTCTGAAGAGTTAGGTGTTCATCTTGGATAGCAGGTCCTGACCAAAGCACGGCATTTTCCAAGTCTGTGACATTCATTAGGACAATTCCAGCTCCTTTAGTTAAAGCAGCAGCAGGTAGGGAGCAAACCTTGTGTCTCTGGCTATCCTAATGTGCCTTTCAAGAGAGTAATTGGAGCACTGTTCTACTTTTCTTTCTTAGGGGGAAGGGCAGGCATTGGGCCATACCTGGCAGTGCTCAGGGGTCATTCCTGGCTCTGTGCTCAGGAGCGACCCCTGATGGTGCTTGGTGGGGGCATCTGCAGTGCTGGGGATTTGATCCCACCTGGGGAAGGGGAGTGCCTGCCTGCCTGCTCTGCCTGTCGGCCTCGCACTCCTCCCCTCACCCAGAAAGACGCACAGTATCCTCTGGAAGGCGTCCTTAGTGTCAAAGATCCTAATGGCCTCTGAAGATTATGAGAGTATTAGGGCAGGAGATGGCTCAGGGCTCAGGGCCACATGCAGAAGAACTGAGTCTGAACTAGAGCACTACACGGCTTCCCAGCCAAGCTGGGTGTGACCCTGGGGGCCCCCGGCACTGCTGCATGGCCAGGCTCAAGCACTGAAGCATTAGGCCAGGTTGGCTGAGTACTGCAGAGAGGAGCCTCAAGGACCCTCCATGCTGCTTGGGGGATTCCCCCTGAAAAATAAGAGACCTCCGCTTAAGAAATAAAAATTCCCCCCTTAAAATTAAGAGTATTGGCTAGAAGTCTATTGGAAGATTTTTTCTTCATTCTTATCTAGATAGTTTCTCTTCTTGGTTCACCTGGTTTGGGTAAAATTAACATACAACTTTCTCTTTTTTTTGTATGTCTGTTTAGTGCTTGCTTTGGCAGCATTTATACTAAAATTTTGTGTTTGTTTTGGGGTCACACCCAGTGCTGAGGGGTGCCCTCAGTTCTGTCCACAGGGATTACTCCCAGCAATGCCAGGGATCAAACCCAGGCCTCCTGCATGCCAAGCACGCGCCCAACCTCTGGGCTCTCTCCCTCAATTCTTCTTTCTTTTCTATTTAATGTACAAAACAGAAATCAGGAGGCAGTGTAGTGCTGACTAAATTTTTAGTATTTTTTCCTTGAATAAAATTGTCAGTTATTTTCCTAGGTGACATGCAAACAAAAATGAAAAGCATTTCACATTTTTAATTCAGTAATCATGCTTATATTTGAGCAACATTCTATATATTTGTTTCCCATAGAGAAAAACGTGGATGTAAGGTCTAATTCAACATAAATATTAGGAAGAATATTAAGTAAGATGATTATAAATATATATAGGTGACAAATACATCTGGTCCATTCTAAAATGATCTTTCTCTAGGAATTTTAAAATATTCTCTCACATGAAAATTGTCTTCTCAACAAATGCTTATTACAGCAATGCTCCTTGAGAAAAAAAAAATGAATTGTGTCATTCTCAACTTCTTCCCTGAAAATTTTCTTCTTTAGGACTTTATATAAATAAATTTACATCATGCATGATAAACAATGCTAAATATTCAAAAGACAAAAATTCAATAAAGACAATTTTATGACTTCAAATACAGAATTTCAGGATGTTAGAACCACTTGATACCAAGTAAACGAAAGAATTTTTTTGAAAAACAAATAAAACACACTGCCAACAGATGTTCCCTCTGGCCCGCCTCCTAACCCAGAACCGACAATCACAGGGTCTTAAGGAGAGAGTGATCAGCTGGGCTGCATACTCCAGACTTAAGTGGAAGACAGCAGAGCACACGTTAGAGAATGAATTTACTTTTAATGGGCAAAGAAATGACTTTTAAAGGCGGTGGTGGTGTCTTTTAGGTCTGCCTGGAGGGAAAAAACGTGTTTCTCCTGTAACTGCTTCCCGAAGTTTAATGACAGCAAAACTTTAAATCTAAGTTGGTGCTCACATTCCTCTATAGGGCCAAGGATGCCACTTCATGAACTTTTTCTTCATCTGCAGAAAGAGTATTAGAGAAAGACAGACAGAAGGCCGGGGTAGAAGGTTGGGGGAGAGAGGAAGTGAGGGGCAGAAGAGGGGAGAGAGACAGTGAGAAAGAAAGAGATAGAGAGAGACAGAGACAGAGAGAGAGACCGAGAGGGGAGGGGAAGGATGGGAAAGGAGAGAAAGAGAATGAGAGACAGAGAAGAAATAAAAAGAATTTTCCAAGTAGGGAAATGCCTATAAGACCTTTTATGTCAAATGTCAAATAATTTCACAACATAATGCACTAAAGCAAAATTCATAGCACCTGTAAGATTTAAGTAAATGCTGCCATCACGTAAATGTTTGTAAATATCTGTAAAAGACTGAAGGAAAATAAGGATAAATTACATTCTCCAGAGAACAACAAATGTATTTCAAAATAAAAACTGTATTTTTGTTTTTCTTTTTTTCATTGTTTTTGTTTTATACAAGAATTCATAGCAGTCACATAATAACTTATACACAATGGAATCCATGTCTGCTCTTCATTTCTGTATTACTTTAAGTCCACATATTCAGGCTACAGTCCCCAACATTGTTTCCTGATAAATAGATTACCACAGTTTGATCTAAATAGATACACTATATAGTGCTTGTCTCTGGGAAAAATCAAATTTTAATATGCAAACTTTTACTTATATCATACAGAAATGGATAAAACTACAGTAGGCACACATCCTAATCATGAGTTGATGACATCTACTCTTATTCTGTATATGAATGTTTAAATGGTCTTAATTAAGATTTTATTTATATGTGCACTTGTGTTCACCTTATCCCATTTACTGTACATCCTAATTACAATCTGGGAATTTAAAGGTGCAGCCCTCAAGAAATTGTTAAATCACTAAAAAAGGGAAAATATTAGACTCTATTGACAAGGAAAAACTCACAAAACTTCTGATTTTAAATTTGCTATCAGTAGGAAAATATTAAAAATAATTTTCTGTATATATGTATGAGCATATGTGTATATTGAATTGTACATGTCTCACCTATCAATACAATTCAAGTGGAGGCATTTTGGTAAGCAATTTTTCCATTAAATGAAAGCTATGTCAAAATTTAAAAATATCTTACTAATCATTAAAATAATTCACTTACCATTCAACAGCTTACACTGCTTTAATTTTAACTTTTCATTAGCTAAATTCCCTGATTCCTAGTGTTAAATCTGGTACTCAGTAATACTCAGAAATTGTGGGGTAACCTCACAAATACTTCAAAGTACCTTTATTACATACATTTTATTACCTGATTTATCAGAGAAATATCTCACCTCTGAGTTGGTGTACCTAACACTGTTACCTAAATTGTCCTCTCTATACTAAATAAGTGACAAAAATATCCTAAAATGATGTTACAGCACACACAGCACATGAGTGTCTGATATAAACTTCTCAGAGACATGTGAAAATTCACTTTAGAAACTAACTTTAAAAACAAACCTTTTATTTTTTTCACTCTAATATAAATTAATTTGTATGTATTCACATACATACACATACATATGTAAAATAAAAGTGTATAGAGTCACTGTGAGTGAAAAAAATGGTTACAAATTGATTCATTAGCTTAATTTTGTACTTAACAATCCAATTGTTTTGGGGTACAAACAAAATGTCAGTGCATTTGTAGAGTCTATCAAGCCAGAAACTCAGGCTTATATTTTTAAAAAGAACCCTCTTCCACTTCACAGGCATTGTACAGCAAGAATATATGGACTTTGATGCAACTCCTACTCCACAAGCAGACAGCACTTGGCTAACTTTTAAAATAGCCTCTTGAAATAAATATATAAAGAAATGCATGTTTGCTAAAAGTTTTTTAAAATTACATCAAAACAACATTAAAACTGGTTCACTGAGAAGAGCCTATTGAATTGAATTCCCGTTTTGAAATGCCTCGATAACAGTTCAGAATATTGCCTTGTGAGGTTTGAAGAAAGATGTGGGGGTGTGAAGACCCAGACCGAGTATACAGCTCCAATCCCAATAGTCCTCTAATAGGCTGTTGGATGGAAATGAATCCCCTTTAAAATAGCTATACACCTTAAAATGATCTATAATAAACAGTTCCCCAATAACCACTATTTGTAAATTTAAATGCATTGATCATTCAGAAAAGATTTCTTGCAAAATATATAAAGAAATGTAACTGCATATTCTGTAAATATACTTAACATTGCTAGGCCAGCCCGTCCGCGGTGGGCTGCTGTAGTTCAGTACTTTGTGTCAAATTTATTAGAAATTTAAAAAGAAATATTTCTGAGGGACTCAGCTGCCTTCATTAGTTGGCTTTAAAATGTGTAATAAAATGGGGAGACAATCTTCTCTTAAGTACATGGAATCAATATGGAAAAGTAAACTATACAGTGGACAAGATTAGAGAACACCAGAGTGTAGCAGAGTGGTCTCCAGAGTGAAATATCTTCCAGTATAAAAAAAGGGAAGAACTCTATACACCCAGTTATAATAAGTATGTTTCATTTCAAGATGCAGCTCTCTCTCACTTCTGGCAAGAATTAATTGGTAATGGCACCACTTCTCAGCAGTGCAAAAATATCCTGAGAAATTATTCCAATACAACAAAAGACAGGGCTTTCATCACTAAGTTTTTGCACAAAACACAGCTTTAGATATCATAAATAAATTAACTGAAAAAGCAGATAACCTTCACTGTGTTGAACACAAAAGTGGGATGTGACCCAGACAATGTTAATTCTCCCATTGGCTAATATCAGAAAAAAGATTGCATTAAGTTTCTATAACTTTCTAGTTAACTATGGCCAATAATATACATGGAGGTAATTTGTAGTTCAAGTTTTTCATCTCTTTTTTTTTTCTCAAACTGGCTACAAGCTGAATTCTAAAATTTACACTGAAATATACAATTCCAATTTTTCAAAAGATCCTCCTCCTGGAGGAGTGGTATTCAAATTTTTTGTGCAATCTTGATGCAGAGCCCAAACAGTCCTATAAAGAGAGACAGTATGTATATCTTTTAGTCAATTGGCACTGAAATTTCACTTTCCTTAGCTGCATTCTAGTAGCTTGGCCAAGTTATCTCGTAATTCCGTTAGTTCAAATATTTTTCCATCAAGAATTTCTAAGAGTGTCTTCAGGTTATTGCGAAAAGCTTCTTGTTCATTCTGACTTTTCTCCAGACGCTGCTCTAAGTCAGACAGTTGTCCCTCCAGGTCTTTGTTCCGAATTTCTACTTCCTTTAGAAACAAAAGTGTGATATATAAACGTGTGTTAGTTCACAACACAGACAATAACGTAACTTGTGTCATTATGAGTACTGTGGTAGTTCATGAAGTAAGGATAAGCTGCCAAATCTCAAATTAACACAATTCAAGGAGATTTCAGATCTTGCCTTCTGAGAAGCCCACGTGGCTTTATTGAATGGCTGGCTCAGGAATCCATCTCTCCACCCAACCAAAATTTACTGTCCAGTTCATGCCAGAAGATCCATTTTCTGGATTATCTACACTTCTTTCTCTTTGTGTTTATCTGAACACACAAACATTAGCAATCCCAGGTGAAAGCAAACAGAATAAAAGAAATTAACAATAATTGTAGAGGGAGAGATTTAGAGAAGAAAGTGACTCTCTAGTAGGGCCAGAAAGATGGTACAGCAAGTAATGTGCTTCCTTGCATGTGGCTGACCCAGATTCAATCCCTGGTACCTCACACAGGCTCCGGAGCACTACAGGAGCTATTAGAGAGCCAGGAGTAAGCCCTGAGCACTTCTGGATGTGGCCAACCCTTACCTCAATTGAAAAAAAAAGTGCATTCTAGTAGCTTGGCCAAGTTATCTCGTAATTCCGTTAGTTCAAATATTTTTCCATCAAGAATTTCTAAGAGTGTCTAAATGAGTTTAAGACCCGGTGAATAAACCAATTACAATCTGTTATGCTTCAGTATGAAAACAAAAGTTTCTGATGCAGAATACAGTATCACTGCTAAAACTCTGGTAAAGAGAAATCACTGTGTACATATAAGAAAATGAGTAACAAATCATCTTACGGCAAACTGAGGAAAGAAAAAAAATATATATAAAAGGGAATTGAAAGTTCATAAAAATAGAAAAGATGTTAAAAATTTTATTTAAAAAATTTTGCCACACCCAAGTGTATTGCTCCTGGACTGCTGAGGGGACCATATGTGATTCCAGGGATTGAAGCTGGTCAGGTGCATGCAAGACAAATACCTACCCCTATACTACCTCTATGGCCCTGTTTTTTTTTTTTTCAAATTTTTATTAGACACCATGAGGTACAGTTGTAGACTTACATATTTTGTGCTTGGGTTTCAATTATACGATGATCAAATACCCATCCCTCCACCAGTGCCCATTTCCCACCACCACAAATCCCAGTATCCCTCCCACCCCCCATCCCCCCATCCCACCCTGCCTCTGTGGCAGGGCATTCCCCTCTGTTCTCTCTCTCCTTTTGGGTGTTGTGGTTTGCAAAAGAGGCATTGAGTGGCAATCATGTTTGGTCTATAGTCTACTTTCAGCATGCTTCTCCCATCCTGGGAGGATCCTCCCAACACCCTTTATTTGGTGCTCCCTTCTCTATCTGAGCCGCCTTTTCCCCTAGCATGTGTGGCTTGGCCCTGGTTTTAAATGTTTTAAACAGTAAAACCTAGCATGCTTACAGATTATTTTATATAATAAATGTTTCTAGGGTCAGAGTGATAGTACAGAAGGTAAAACACTTGCCTTGAGGTGCAAAGGTGATTCAAAATCCCTGGCACCACAGTTGGTCCTATGAGCACTGCTGGTGTGACCCCAACCCTCCACCCTCACACGAATTAAAAACCAATATTTCTAAGTATGATAAACATGAGTGATTCTTAAAAAACAAAATGAAATAACAAAAAATTTAATTTTAGTTAAAAATCATATGAAAACTGGCAGGAAAAAAAAGATTACACTTTTTAATTTTGGGTGCTCAGGGCTTACTTACTTCTGGCTCTGTCCTCAGGGATGATTTCTGGTAGTGCTCACCGGACCATATGTGATACCAGGGTCAGCCATGTACCAAACAAGCACCTTACCCTGTACTATCTCTCCAGCCCCAGACTGTTTTCTTCTTCTTCCTTTTCCTGTTTACATTTTGGTTTTTGGGGCAACACCCTCAGGTACTCTGGGGCTATTCCTGGCTCAGTGATCAAGAGTCACCCCTGGTGCTGCTCAGGAGACCATATATGGTACTGAGGACGGAACCAGGGTTAGCAGAAGTGGTCACATGCAGAACAATCCCTGTTTCTCTCCTGTTCTGTCCATTATTCTGCAGACATTACACAGCTGAGAAACTATTACATTTTAATATATGCTTTATACATCTGCTTTCTATATATTAAGCATCCATATAAGCAGTAAACTGAAAGTTATATATCCTGACAGGAAAGCTTACTTTGAAGATCTGAAGAATTAAGGAACTGACATACGCCAGAGAGCGAGCTCAATGGGCTGGAGTACATGCTTTGCAGTAGAACACCTAGGTTATATCCCCAGCACTGCCAGGAGTGACCACCTACCAGAGCTGGGAGCATCACCAGGTGTGGCGCCAAAACAAAAAAATAAACTGAAAAAATTTAAAAAGAAGACTGATATAAATTACACTCATATAAACTAAATGGGACAAATGATATATTCTGACGTTGGTTTACACACTGGAAATCGGCTTCAGAAAATAGATTTCAATTGTTAATACATCACTTCAGTGTGAGTTCCTGAGGTCTAGGACATAACATAGCCGATAGAGCATAGCAAGTGTGAAATCTTGAGTTCCATCACTGGCACTGCAACCCAGAACAGAGGTTCTTTGAACCCCTCAAAAGTAAACCTCCCCCCTACAAATTTTTTTGTACAAGTGTAAAGGATTGTGGGAAAACTCTTTTTTTTTTAAATTCTAGAAAGAAAATTTGTCAAGTTTTAAACAAAGCAGCAGCACACTGTATAGCATACACAGGACAAACACTAAGAATGGAAAGAAACAGTTCTAGCTCTGGTGAAGAGGAACATTCCCCATTATCTTACAGCACTATAGAAGCTAAATTGTTTATAAAAATAATTGAGAAATCTCCTATGTAGTTCTTAAACACATATAAGAAAACAACAATTGATTTAGGACTTAAGAAATGTTCACAAACTTGCCACAAGTGTATGGGGGCCAAAGGGCAGTTAGGATAGAGAAGGGACCAGACAGAAACTGGGGACACTGGTGGTGGGAAATGTACACTGGTAAAGAGGTGGGGGTGGGAGCATTATAGACTAAAACCCAATTGTGATCACCTTTGTAACTGTGTATCTCACTGTGATTCAATAAATAATAAAGAGAAAGAAATGTTCACAAGCTTTGACAGAAATAAGAGCAAGGATCAAGCAGAGAAGCCACGGATGACCACAGGACATGAAGAAAGGGATAAAGAAACTACAATGATTTCTAAATAAAGAACTTCAGGAATTCTAATCTACTGTATTTATTGTAAAATGTTCAACCAGGTACATTTCCACTGTTTTTCTTCTGAATAATCTTCAAGGTAAAGATAAGTAAAATCTGAAACCCATGAGCTACTTACTTATAAATTCAGAAGCCAAATGCATGGAGGTTCTACACGAGGGAGAAAACAGAACCTGGGTCCAAGGGTGAAATTTCTATTCATGACTGCGCAGCATGAGCCCTTGCCTGCTTACACAGTAATTTCAAGAGAAGAATGTTTCCAACTATGAAAACAGACCAGTGTCCTTCAACAGAAAATACCCACTTCGCCAGGCATCATCCACCTGCCCTCTAACACTGTCCCGGAAGTGAAAGTTTTCCTTGTTCTCAGTGCCAGTCAATGGAACATCCAAACACTTCAATGGGAGCAAGCAAAACACAAAATCCCAGGAGGGGAGATGCATGTTGAAAGTAGACTATGGAATGAACATGTTTGCCACTCAATGCCTCTTTTGCAGACCACAACACCCAAAAGGAGAGAGAGAACAAAAGGGAATGCCCTGCCACAGAGGCAGGGTGGGATGGGGGAGATGGGGGTGGGAGGGATATTATCCATGGTGGTGGAAAATGGGCACTTGACGGGTATTTGATCACTGTATAATCGAAACCCAAGCACAAAAATCTGTAAATCTACAACTGTACCTCATGGTGTTTCACTAATAAAAATTAAAAATAAATAAATTTTAAAAAATGATTCAGGTAACTTAAAATTATCACCTATAAAAAAAACACAGTATGAGACTAATACCCAAGGACAATAGATACAAGGGCCAGGAGGACTGGTCCACGACTGGAAGCTTGCCTCAAGTTCTCAGGGAGAGGGAAATTGAGATAGAGAAGGGACCACTATGACAATGACAGTTGGAAATGATCACTCTAGATATGAGCTGCGTGCTGAAAGGAAGTAAAGGAACAACATAATAACCTTTCAGTATCTGTATTGCAAACCATAATGCTGAAAAGGAGAGAGAGAGAGAGAGAGAGAGAGAGAGAGAGAGAGAGAGAGAGAGAGAGAGAGAGAGAAGAAAGGGGGCGTGTGGAAGTGCCTGCCACTGAGGCAGGCTGGGAGGGAAATGTACATTGGTGGAGGGACAGGTGTTGGAACATTCCATTACTGAAACCCAACCACTAACAGTTTTGCAACTGTGTATCTCATAGTGATTCAATTAATTTAAATAAAGAGGAAACACATAATGCCAACTCAAATAACTAAATAAAATTATTATCAATGGAACCATATCAAGTCAGTTTTCTATACAGTAAAATCCTGTATTATTTAATCAAAATAAAAGCTGTTGGAACCCAAAAGGCACAGAAAAAAGCGCTCTTCATCACTCATCATCAGGGAGATGTAAATCAAAGCAACAAGGAGGTATCACCTCACACCACAGAGACAGGCATACATTCAAAAGAAACAAGAAGAACCAGTGTTGGCTCGGATGTGGGGAGAAAAGGACTCTATTCATTGCTGGTGGAAATGCAGACTGGGCCAGTCTTTTTGGAAAACAATATGGACATCCTAAAAAACTAGAAATGAAGCTCCTATTTGAAATAGCAATGCTACTTCTGGGAATACACCCTGGGGGCACAAACATACAGCAGAAACACCATCTGCACTCCTATGTTTACTGCAGACTATTCACCATAGCCAGAATCTGGAAACAACCTGAGTGCCCGAGAACAGACAAATGGATAAAGAAACTATG